TAGAAATCAAAATAAATAAAAATAAATTTAATATTATTATTTAGTGAGAAAATGAGATGTTTAGTCAAACTCTAAAAATAATAGAAAAGAAAGAAAGAAGTTTCTATTCAGGTGGTGGTAATGGGTTGGGCTGAAGGAGTGGTTAGGATATTGTAGTATGTCTCAACTTTCTTTTAAGTTTGAGTCGTGATATTTTAAGTTGTCAAATCCTAATTATAATTCTACTATTTATATTCGTTCACATCACTATATAATCTATTATTTTTATAAATGGGTCTAGATTGATCTTAAATATTACATAATAAAATTAAACAGTTTTTTTTTTTAAGTATATAATCGAAAAAATTGTGAAAAGAAAATATTGAGGATAAGGTTTGAATGGACGAGGTGAGTGGTCAAAGACCATTTAGGATTGTCTTGATTTCAACTGACAAAAAGTAAATAATAGAGTTGGAAGGTGGGGGAGAGGGGAGCTGGAGTTGGGACAGTTGCATTAAAATTCACTTTATTATTTATTTTTTCTTCTAATTCTTGGACAAAGTCTTTGGTTTTTCTTTATTGATTAGGATGTGGGGGAAGCTTGTGGATTACAAAATCTTGCCCCATATCTTGTAGTCCCATTTTCTTGGTGGGCCTCTCAAATCTCATTATGGAAAATAATTCAACCAAGTTTTTTTAAAGCAAGATCATGACTTTCTTTTAACTCGTCAATTCTTCATATGCTATATTTTGAATTCAATGGTGAAATTTATTCTCCTCCCTTTCTTCTTTTTACGTCAACTTTAAATAGTCCCTACTCTCTCGATCTACTGTGTGTATGTAAAAGGATATTTGGTTCGTAAGTTAGTGTAGCCTGAATTTGGAGGGACGATATCTCTATTGGTATGAGATCATTTGAATGATTTTAAAGAGCAAAGTTATGAGGCCTTATGTCCAAAATGAACAATATCGTACCATATAAGAGTCATGCCATGAACTTGTATTGTTGGGTGTGGGAGATATGAGTATATATAAATGAGATTGTTAAAGATCTCAGGTTGAAAAGATAAGAAATTTTACAAATGTTTATAATAGACATGAATTGCTCATCTCATTGTCAGTTAGTTTTGAGATAGAACACCATGTCTATCAAAGTTAAAAAAAAATCGATATTATTTGTAATAGATATGTACTATTCTTATTATTGCCAATTTATTTTGAGACGGAATCATGAATCTTGAGAGACTCTTTTTTAGGTGAATTAACTCACCATTTAATTAATGCTACATCTTGAAACATATATAGGTTGTACAAATTTAATTTTCTTTTCCTTTTGGGATTGACGTTTTAATTATAGAATTGATTTTGAAAAAGAAAGTGAAAATGAAAGTGTTGTGACTGCTGGCTAAAGGGCGAAGTGGATTTGTGCGGTAGAGAATTGCTTTAGCTTTGTCATAAAGACGGTGGGAAGCATGGTGTGGTTAGTAGCATACGCTTGATTCTTATGTTATTTAAGTTTTAATAATCACTTTTTGAGGAAGAGCAAACTTCCATGTATAGTAATTATTTATTTTGTTTTGCAACATATTTTGAAAAAAAATTATAGTCAAATTTTGAACGATAAAAGAATTTAGTTTAAATTATAAGGAAGATTCACATGTTATTGAACGAATCTATCTATATTCGTAAATTTTTAATTTTGTATTTAATAAGTCTTTGGCTTATTAGACACTTTATAAAATTCACTTATATTAGACAAGAAATTCAATTTCGTATTTAATAGATATGCAAATTTGAAAAAATATTAGAGACTTATTAAAACTTACTAAATACCATTAAATTTCATAGGCAAATTGAATATTTGAGACCTATTAAACACTTTTTAAAGTTAAAGGATTTATTAGAAATTAACGGGTAACTTAACAAAAAAAAGAAAAACTTATAAAATTTGGGGAACAAATGATTACTATCCACGACTATTATTCTTCATAAGTTTGTAGATGGCGGTGCAAACCAGGTTGATGTAACTAAGGACATGCTTGAAAATGATTTTAGAACGAGTTATTTTTTAAAACTAATTAACTATAATTTTTTTTTCTCCCGATGATTGATCGAAATCACTTAAAATAGTTTTAGATTTTTCAAAAATTACTTAAAAATCATTTTTAAACGTATCTAATTTTAGCATTTTTTTTTTTTTGAGATAAAATGTTTTCAAAGAGAGAATAGAGCCAAACAAGAGCTTGTTATTGTTCAAAAGGCATGCCCAAACAAACACTAATAATCATAATGGTGGAAAAAATTTCAGCCGCCCTCTTCTTATCCTTATTCTTAATTCTCTGCTCATTGGGCGAAATGCGGCTTGATGTTACCACTGAACGGACGGTGACGGTATTTTAAGTCCATTAATGTCCCTATAATTACACTCCAATCACTTTCATTTTCTCTTTTCAAAACAAAAATTATTAGTATTATTATTTTCAGTTCATGCATACCTCAATACGCAACAAAACTTTTAAGATTATTATTATTTAATGGTGTTCTTCATTTTAAGTATGTTATTACTAAAAGAAATTACAATTTAAACGAGGGATTTAAGTTATAACTTACTATCTTTAAGGAAAGTTATTAACCAGTGGAATTGATTATAAGGCTCCATTTGGTAACGTTGATTTTTCTTGCTTCTCGTTTCTTTTTTTCTCAATTAAGAAAAAATAGAATTATGTTTGATAATTGTCTTTGTTTCTGATTTCTTTTTAATTGAAATACGAAATAGAAACACGTTTGGTAACTATTTTTTGTTTTATTTATTAAAAATGTGAACTTGGATGATTCTTACTTTAGTATTCAAATTAAAAAAAAATCTATATCAATAAAGATGTTGTTTACTTGTAACTACCTAAAAAGATTTTCACTTGCGAGACTCTGTTAGCTGAATATTATTTCGGTGTCCAAATCTCAAAGAGTGATGGGTTCAAATTTCTAAGATTAAAGTTGGAAAGTGATTCAAATTGATTTGCGAAATTACAAATGATACATTTTTGTAACTTTAACGACTAAATTACAAATTTAAATTTTATTTTATGTCCAAAGAGACAAACTAAAGTTTGGTGCATTTCACAGTCAAAGAATAGTAAACAAAGACGAGAGAAACAGGTGAGTTTGTGTAGTGGAAATTGCCGGCAGTTATGAAGTTACGGTCAACCCCAGGTAACTCTAGCAGTGGTCAATTTTCCGGAATTTCATACCTTCTACCTACCACTACATAAAATATAATCAACTAAATTTTTTGAAATTAAATCATCATAATATATATATATATTGTGAAAGTTTAAAATTGACATAGGTGACAAGTTGAAAGTTGCTTTTATTCAGTAAAAGATGATGGTGATTTCATATTGTCGAGCACTTACCTAGAGCTACCTTTGAAAATTGGGAAATTTCGCATTGAGACAAAGAAATATTATTTTGACGGAACGTTTAGGCCTGATATTTTGTGGATTTGTCAAGCTTGAAGTTTGTTGGACAAAATGAATAATTTTAATGTGTGTTTAAGAGTGAGGGTAGAATGAACGATTTTGAAACAATAGATTTAAGTACGATTGATTTTTCAAAATCACCATCCAAGTGATACCTGAAAAATCAATTTAAAGTGATTTTATACTTTCATATAATCAATTTTCTAATTTGTTAAACATGATAAATGGAAAAAGAAGTGATTTTGACAGTGATCAAATTAATTTTGGTACGTATGAACACACCTTATTAGTAACTTAAATCAACTCTTTCAAAATCCATTTTTTCAAATAAATTATTTGATTCCAACCTTTCTCAGTGCAACTTAAATATAAGTTTTCTAAACCCTCCCAATTAAAATTATGAATTTAAGTATTTAACTTTTTCGAGATGAATGGCTGAACTCGTACCTCCAACTTTGCACAAAGTTTGAGTAATTCATTAATCATTTGTTATTGGGTACTAATTTAGCTCGAAATTGATCGAGAAGACTTATTGTTATCCATTGACTTGAGTTTAGAGATCATAAGATATACTTGAAACAAATTGATCAAAAACAAAGAAAATTGATTCTACGGCCATTACAGAGGCCTGAATCTCCACAAGAGAAGAAGGCCCATTGCTGCTACGGCCCAAAATAAGTGACAAATGTACATGGCCAATCAAATAAGGCTGAAAAATCAAGTCAATTAGATTCAATTCCACTCATTGCCCACATGGCCACAGTTCAACGGTTAGATCATGTTACTTACTCAGAGGTTTAATCTCTAATCTCTGCTACTAAAAAAATCTTACTATTGATTATACTTCAACGAGTTAAAGATATCAGTAACATTCAAATTCATATAATATTATATTGACTAAAAGAAATTCAATATTATTTATTGTAAAATCATGGTAGTCAATTTTTGATTTTCATCTTCTTTCTCATCTATATTCTATATCATGAATTTTATTTTCTCCTTTTTGGCAAAGTAAATACTCAACCTTTTTTAAATATATAATCAACTTCCTTTTCCTACTTTTCCCTATTGTTTCAACTTTAATCATCATTTTTCTTAATTCTCTCTCTTCATCATTACTTTTCTCATATATATCTATTCTTTCTTGTTGGATTTATATTATTTTTCCTTTTTTCTATAAAAAGTATATTTTATCCCAACGTCCTATTTAATTAAATATCTTCCATCAGCTTAACTTTTTTCTGCCACATGCCCTTGTCAAGATCAACTATACAGTCTATACTCGAGAAACATCATAAATAGCAAAATCATTATTTACATCAGGTCAGGGCATATTCGACATTTGGATTATTTGTTGTAGTGATCGGGCTTGTGAGTAACTGATTTGGGTCGCAGCCCAATAGAAGTACAGGCCGACAATAATTAACCTGGGCCGGTCCGTATGCAAGATCTTCGGCCCATATTGAAAGAATGTTCGGGACCGGCCCATATATCCCATTTGAATTGGATTGGCGGATGAATATTGGTAGTGCTGATCTGCGGAAGCCAATCAGTACATTGCCGCGTGGAGACGAAACGTTCTTAACAGCGACGTGAAGAGGACGAGAACGAGAACTCCTAATCGTCGTCATCGTTCTTCTGGAGCGTATTCGAAACCCTTTCTGCGCCAAATTTGTCCCCGAATTCTTTCGATTCATTCTCCCTCTCGTAATTTGTTTCTGATTCTCATCCTTCCGTCTACCTCTCACTGCTTCGCGAGTTCTCTTTTGGTAGGCATTGATTTTTTGGTAATTTCGAAGCTGATCGGATACCGCGATTTCTTGAAACTAAGCGTTTAGGCGATCTAATTTTGTTCTTGATTTTGTTGTTGCAGAAGATCGAGAGGCGATTCTAGTTGCTTAGCGTCGACAATGCTTAACAGGCTTTTCGGTAAACCTAAACAAGAAGCAAGTGCTTTGGCTACGTTGGATAAGCTAAGCGAGGTACGTTTTTAGTTTGTTGTTTTATTGTTTTAGATGTTCTTTTAGTGAAATTGATTTTTCTTTTTCCCGCTCGTTCTGAACCCTAGCTTCATTTCATCGATCTTGATGGATGCTTGACTTCTCATTCTTCCGTCTTTTCATTGTCTCCTCTGAATACTAGTGTTTATGACGTCGTAGATAAATCTCACTCAATGTAACTTTGCTAATTTATTTCTTCTTTAAGGATCGACGAATCAATAATATTTTTGTTCCGATTTTCGCCTGAATAGGTTCCCTGCACCGAAGTATTTGTGTTTATGACGTTGTTTCACTTTTTTTCTTTCAAAATGACGTCGTTCTGTAATTGGTTCTTCTGGTTACTTGGTCGAAAGTTGGTTTACAGTTGAAATTATCTTCTAAATTGGATTTGGCCTACACGTAATTATTGTCGTACTTCCGATGAAACTTCACTTCTGTAGCAATGGAAAACTGTTAACTCCCTTGCTGTGGTTTCATTCCATGTGGTTATATTGAAGGAATAGATAATTTGAATCACGTCCACACTAGTGGCGATTGCTATCACATGGATTTTTGTACTCTGAATCAGATCTACTAATTACGAATATGTTTTTCCACTTTTTTGGTACAGCATTGTTTCATCTAATTGTTTCCGTTTCATTCTCTTTTATTATATGTTCAGACACTTGAAATGTTGGAGAAGAAGGAAAATGTCCTTGTTAAGAAGGCAGCTGCAGAGGTTGAAAGAGCTAAAGAGTTCACAAGAGTGAAGAACAAACGGGGTATGCTATGAAATCGAGTGATCTTTTCTATGTTGGGCATGGGATGCTGATTGGTATTTTTTAATTTCATATCTGAGCATTTTTTCCATGTGGCGTGGAACACGATTTATTACCTAGGTTGGATTTGAACTGTGTGTCCGATTGTAGTACCATACTTATTTTCTCACGTACGAAGGTTTGTGTTCTTATCTGCCAAGTCTTTCATTCACAATCCATTAGGATTGCAGTTTAGTGAATATGGATATTAAATATCTGTTTTCGAGTTTGTAGAAGAATCAACATTTGGAAGTTTTGTTAATGGGAATTTAATTTATTTAATCTATTAATTTGATCTGAAGGAATAAATCAATGACATTGAGTTATTTAATATCAGTCACCAATTTAAATTAACGTTATTTATTGCATTATTGTAGTGATTAGTTAATTGAAATTGAATTAATTAGTATTAAATATGACATTATAAAATAATGTAATTTAAATTGACAATGCATTCTGTCTTAAAAATTTCGTTCATAGTCATTAGAATTTTTCTGTAGCGGCCATTCAATGTTTGAAGAGGAAGAGGCTTTATGAACAGCAAATAGAGCAGCTTGGAAATTTCCAATTACGTATCCATGATCAGGTGAGCTAGAAATTTTATTTTCTGATTGACGAGACATCATTCCCTTTAACTTTAGTAGGCTGTCATGAGAGAAACTGTTTATCTTTCCACGATCAGTTGAGGTAGATTCCATTCATATACATCTTTTTCTTTTATTACTGCTGCAGATGATTATGCTAGAAGGCGCAAAGGCTACAACCGAGACTGTAGATGCTTTGAGAACAGGAGCATCTGCAATGAAGGCAATGCAGAAAGCAACGTAAGCCTTTTTTTTTTTTTAACTCTCTCTCTCCCTTCCTTTCTGGGTTATTATAACTTTTCAGGATTTGCTTCTCACTGACTCATTGATTATTCATAGCTCTTTAGTGTTCCAAAATATCTTCAATTTTCTAACCTGCGATTTTTCATCTTTTTCTTCTCGTATTATAATTGATCAGGACAACTATTAACTATGTTTATTCACTTGACTAAAGGGAAAAAAGCTCTATAATTTTTCAAAATCTATTGTCTAAATGAATGTAAACTCATGCACTTTGTTCATCTAGTTGTTGATGTTAAACTATCGTGAGAAAGCTATTTCTGGCAGTGGTCACTGATTGCAGATTTGGATTTGTGACTCAATTCATCTAATGCATTTTGACGACCTGAAAAATGAGATGAACAGTGCAGTTTCGTTTCATGTTTCATTTCCTAAAACTGGGATTGTGTGAATTCTAGGAACATAGTCATATTTCAGAAACTTGCCTCACTGTTTGAAAATTTTGTCTTCAGGAATATCGATGATGTAGACAAGACAATGGATGAGATAAATGAGCAGACTGAGAACATGAAACAGATACAGGAAGCGTTGTCAGCTCCAATCGGGGCTGCAGCTGATTTCGATGAGGTTGTTAGTCTTTGACACGATTCTTGAACTTTCTTGGTATTGCTTAAATGTCATTTATCGCGAATTAACTTTTGGGTGAATTCAGGATGAATTGGAGGCAGAACTGGAAGAGCTGGAAAGTGCTGAGTTGGAAGAGCAACTTCTCCAGCCAGCATCAACTGCTCCTGCCGCACCCGTTTCAGTCGCGCCGGGCAGAGTACCTGCTGCACGCCCTGCTCCTCAGAAGAGAACTGCCGAAGAAGACGAACTGGCAGCTCTGCAAGCTGAGATGGCTCTTTAAACCAGGTTTGCTCCAATTCCAATTCAACCGCACGAAGAGACTCAATCAGCTCCGCTCGACTTGGATAATTGATCTGTCCCTTTAAATTCTTTATTTATGTGCAGAAGAAAGTATTTAAAACGAATAATTGACCTGTCTTTTTAACAATTTAACGGTATTTTAGATTTTATTTTAGTTACATGAACATATAAAAATTCGTGAGTGTGTTTACATTGTTGCAGGCCGCGTCCCCTGGTAGATTCCAGTGCAATCTATTCTGGTGAGTGTGTTTACATTTGTCTTCAGGAATATCATACGAATTATTATTGCCTACCGCGAGACAATGTATATAATATGGCAACAATTACTTCTTCTATTTTGCCGAGCTTGCTAATACCTTCAAATTTTAGGTATATTTGAGTACTATCTTTTCTTCATTTATAATAAAACTCGCCTATTTTTTCTTAATTAGACACTTGGATTTTTTGATTTGGCCCGATCAAAATTACCAGAAGCTATTAATCATTTTTTACAGCGGAACTGAATTTTAATATGTTGCGGATGTAGTTCTCCTTGTAGATTATTTTCATTTCTATAAATTTGATTTTATTAATAAAATACAAATCATTGCACATTGTTTCGTTCGAATGGAAAAAATATTACTGCCGAAATTTTTTAATAATTTATTTTGGGAGAGGATTCGTAGTTTATTTACTTTTTTCTGTCTCATAACAACCATGATGTCAATATAGATAGATAAACAAAAACAAATTTTTAATTATTTAAAACTTGTTTTATACGATTTTATTGAAAAACGTTTCAGTTTGTGGATCGAATTGGAGCTGCATACCGGACTATAATTTAGAACCATTGAAAGCAGAAGCTATCTCCGGTGCAAAACAAAGTACAATAGCGTGGAGTGAAATCTCCATTTATAAATTAAAAGATCATAAAAGACCCAACACTTGGGACACCAACTCATCACTTCAAATAAGGAACCAAAATAAAAGGTTGCATAAAAATATCGACAAAATCAACTAAAGTCAATCAACTACGATGCAGCGACAGTATACGCATTACACAATCTAAAAGGAATACTGGAACAAGTAAAAAACTATCTTTGATTTCAAATTGTCCATGGATTACTAAAATTGCTAATCCACAAATTCTTCTTATTAGACTTCTACGGATCAACACAAATGATTTCATAAGTTTTCTCAAAACCAACACCACAACAAAACCTATTAAGTAGCCGACCAACTACAGTACAGCAGTACTCTTAGAACGGGCATACAACAATTGGATTTCATAACTTCTATATTAATAGTTCCCATTCACCTTCTACCTTTACTAGCACCTCAAATCATTCTCACAGCTTTCGGTGGGGATGGACGGACGGAGAGAGGGAGAGACGAACAGGAACAGGAGGGAGGGTTAAAATTTAGCATCAGAATAACTGACCCTACCAAAGTCTGACAGTAGAAAGTATAACACCTCCACTACTACTAGGAAAAATATACCATGATTCTAAAACTTCTACATAGGCAATTGAACATTAGCTTAAAAAATGCTAAAAGGAACAATACAACTTTGAACAGCAAATGAAGAGTTAATTGAGTTCCTTAAAAACTAAGATAACTTCAATACAATCACTCTTACTTTCTATCCTCTTGCCTTTCTACCTATACAGGTCAACTGTAAACCCTAAACTCCACGTTCTCGAATCTAATCGGTGTGAGGAAAGTCAGAAATTGATTGGACCTCAGTCTACTTGTTTGTAAACAAAATCTTGATGTAATAATCAATCTTCACATAAAAATCTTCCTTCCCCCTCCTAATAACACTATCTCTATTTATTAAACTTCGACAATAGTTATTTTATAAAAAATAAAAACAACACAATCTCATCTCACAGTTAAACATCAAATCTAAATATCAACCGAGCATTAAGTGAGAAGAATCTTTCTAAAAGAAAGAATAATAGTATCGTTCAGAGAAATTTCAGTTTAACCACATCAAATAAGAACTAACAGAAGTATAAAATATCTCCAAATAACAGGTAATAAAATGACCAAAATATCACATTATCGAGCTCTCTTACTTCTCGGATGAGTTCGGTCCTCTCTTCTTGCCGAATCCAACCACTGCATAAGTAAATCAAAATTTATAAAAACCTAGAGAAGGATGAAAGTTGGAACACACAATCACAAATCCAGAGAGAGGGGAAGCGAACAGTTACCGGCAGTAACGAATCTGCGGTTGTATTGCATCCGCTTGTGAGCGCGTCCTCGTGGCTTCTTCTTCTTGTCTTGCTTAGCAACTTTTGGCGTCTGGCCTCTCACCTTACCGGCACGAGCCAAAGATCCGTGAACCTTACCTGAATGTGGATCGGACAGACGAAGAAATAAATTAATCAGGAACATAAAGCAGAAGAAAATCTGAAAGGATGATATGGAGCTCGAGCTCTACCCATGGCGAATCTGATAGGCGACTCTTCGTCTTCCGGATGTTCAGCAACTTTCGGTTTGCTCGCTTCGCGATCAAAATACAAATATTAGGGTTTGGGATATTGTACGGACAAATATATAGTGGGTTGGATCACACGGGAAAACTTGATCCAAACGGCCCAGCCCATATATAGGTCTTGTTTATTCGGCCCAGTACGGATCAACTTTCATACTCGTATATGCCCTTTAAAAATTAAATGTTTAGGATTTCAAGTCTAATTAATTTGTTAATTTGTAAAAATTATGAATAAGTGAGTAACTTATTAGACAAATTAAAATCAAAATTTTAGAAGTCTATTATACGCTATAACTGAAATTATAATTTAGTGAAGTGGAAAAAAAAAAAAGAAAAAAACTAAAAGAGGTGCATTTCAAGCATTAAAATGATTATTTAAAGAGGGGAGGGAAGAATGGAAGAAGTAGTTGGGGATGATGAGTTGTTTATGTAAATCAGAATAGAACGAAAGAGATGAAATTAGGCTAAACAATCCTAAACCTAATAATAATAAAAAACTATTGGTCGACTAATTAATCTCTCGGAGTATCCAATCAAAACAGAGGTTTAATAGGGGAAGTTTGCTCAGTAATTGTAGCTGTAAGCGGAGAGCAAAATTATTGAGAACCACCGAGACCTCAATGCGTGGAGTCACGACCTGTTTTTCCTTTATCTCGTTTTTCATGTTTCCCATTTTAAAAATAATGGCAAACATAACAGAAAAATGTGTTTTAAACTATACTATTTTTGTCAAATTTCAATACTTAGTTGCTGACTTACCACCATTAAAAAATTAACAACTATTTATTCTATTTTTTTCTCTCTTTCCTTTATGTGGATTCATCTCTCCCTTTGTCAACTTCAATTTTTTATGACAATAGAACAGTACTCCCCCGAACACAAAGCACTTAATTATCAATTTTTTGAATGCGTATGATTTTAGAATGGTCACTGTATTGGATGGGTAAGTCCAACTTGAATCAGAGTTTGTTGTCAACATAGAACAGAGAGAAGACCCCGATACTACAATAGAATGAACGAAGAAAGAGGGCAAATTAGGGTTTCGATTATGTTAGTTTTTTAAATAAACGTTACCAAGAAAAATGCTGTCACCTGGCTATGGTTTCATATGAAAGAACTAGAATGCCCAACCTGGCTAAGTATAAAAAGCATAAAACTCAACATCCGGAATCTACATGCCTATGTACTGCGCCTTACATTTTAGAGGGAATTTGTTAATCTCCTTGATACGTACTCCTCCTAAGATTAACCAAACACATACAAGCCCGTCTATAGTTTGAATTTATATAATATGTGTAAGATTTGCTCAATAACTAGCAAGCTAAGCTCTGATAATGTAACCAAAAAACATTTGCACTCAAAATACTTTATAAGTCCAGGAACTATAAGTTAATTTAACAGAAGGAAAATCTCCAAAAACAACTAAATATGAAAGTAGTCTTCTTTCATTAAACAAATCAGAACTACAGTCTAATTTCATCTTACCATCTTTTTCGAAAACTGATGACAAATCAATCATCTTCCTCAATGACTTTAGTCCCCAGCCCCTTCAGACCTTCAGCTGGGATTTCTGATACTGTGACGAGGGAGTACAACTCTTCTTTGGCATCTTCATCGTCATTCCTCTTGCGAGCAATGCGAACTCTGATTCTTCTTGGCACACTCCTGATTCCCCTGCTCCAAATATGCTTGTTCAGCTTTACATCCACTCGTACATCCTTCGTTCCCATAGCCTTCTCGGCAAACTTCCTGATCTCCTTGATGGCCTTAGGAGCCTTCTTCTTAAAGGTGCTGTTGTACATTCACAAACAGTATAGAGTCATGAGTAACAAACAAAACTTTCACATGGTTAAACATTATTTGTAGGAACAATACAATCAGAATGTTAAAGATGGAAATAAAAATTAAACAAGGACTTGTGCACTATCAATCATAGTTTAGGACTAAGATAAACAAGCATGTAACAAAAAGGAACTCTACGCTCAAAAGAATAGGGGATTACAAGCACGAATTCAAGGAGAAACTAATCATACAACACTACAAAGTCTACAATAAATAATTGGGAATCATAATACTCTCATTTATCTCATATCCTGAAGATACTGCAAAACATGCTTCGGCAGTGAGGAATAGGGTTATTCTGGCTAGCATACTATCTTAACATGTCAACAAATCCAAAACTCAACACTCCGGGTTGTAGGTCGCACAGTCAAAGTGCAAAAGACAGTTGAGTAAACACAGAACTCAAACCAACATAATATAATCTACATAAATTCTCGAAACGTCCAATAAAGTGCAACAGTAGTAAATTCGTGGAACGCAAATCCAATATAGTACAGCAAACTCCTGAAGTTATTAACCCGGGCATTACAACACCATAACTGAATCGAGGATACCCCTCCGACATAAATCACATTATGTAAAATAAACAAGAATATATATACAAAGCATTCAAAGGAGAAAAAAAATACAAGATGCGAAAGGCAGAAAACATGAACGTACCACCCATGTAGACGCTTGTGAAGGTTAATAGTGTACTCCCTAGTAACTACCTCCTCCTTTCTCCCTTTGGTCTTCTCTACCATTTTTAAATCTCTTCAAAAACACCTGCACCCGACAATCCTACGATTACAACTCCACCATAAGCAGAAAAATTCTACTAATCCTAAATCATCCGATGCAGAAAATCCGAATGCATATCGAATAACAGGATTCATAAGCATTATAAATTAGAAACGAGAGAAATTTTCAAAATCAAAACTATCGCTGTTTTCCAATTTCCAAATTTTGAAGACAGACGAAAGCGAAGTATTCAACGAATAGTTAAAAAACATGTTCAGAGTTTAGGAGTAAAGTCCCGAAATCAACGAACAGAAAGAGAAACCTGGCGTGCGGAGTGACGCGAAGAGTGGCCTGCAATGAGGAAGGAGATGGTCTTCTAAGAGGAGCAGCAAAAAACCCTAATCCTGCACTTATAAGGGTTTGTCCATTTATATACGATTAACTGTTGCGGGCTTATTGTCCATGGATATAGGCCCAGATTAAATTTTACGCACAGTCCCTAATGGACCGTATAACATATTTGGGCCGGACTTTAGAACTTTAGATTCCCTTTTTAAGGTTACTTTTAGTTTTTATAGTTTAAAATCTTTTACAATTTAGTTTCTATTTTAAAATTTTTTATTCAACTAATTTGTCTCTTTTATCTATTGTATTACTCAAGATATGTAGATCGATAAACTGGTGAGAGACCAAATGTGTTTATAAATTACAAAAACGGAATCGTTACATAATAAAAGTTTGACCCTTAATTTTGATGTCGTTTTTCATAGTAAGGACTAAATTGTAACACACTGAAGTTTGGAGGCTAAATTGTTATTAGTTTGAAAATATAATGAATAAATCGTTATCAATTTGAAAGTATTAAAACTAAATTATTATCAATTTTAAAATATGATGATTAAATCGCTACAAATTGTTTTAGGGACTAAATCATTTAGGTATCACATGTTTTTTTAATCTTTTATTGAGTAAAACAACTTGCATAAATCATAAAAATAATATTTTATTGGTTAAATTTTAATATTTGTGGCTATACCAAAAAAAGATTCATTGCTAGTTATTAGTAGCTAGACAAGATTATATATGTTAGTATTGGTTCTTTTACTTATGTTGGATAAATTTTAATCTAGTTTAATCATTTATTTTATTTGCTTGCTCTTTTATGGTTGGATTTCAAACATTTATGTGGCTTGACATTGAATATTTTCGTAATTTATTAGTTAATTAATAGGAAAATTTTTAAAGCTAGTTTTGAAGAGGTATTTATTTTCCCACATAATTTAATTGGATGAAATAAGTTAAATATAAAGGTAAATTCATAAAATTTTCCTATACCTAAATTTATAAAATTTTCACGCAATTGAAAACAAGTGTACCAAGAAATTTATAAAGCGTGATTACTAATTAATGATGCTTATATCTTCCCCTTACCTCATTTAAGCGCCCTAAAATTTTAGGATTGTTTTTTATGAGTTGACGTTCTTAAGAAATTGAAGAGTTTTTTCTATTAATTGGAGATTCTCTAGGGAGATTTAACCATTTAAATGAATATTCAACAGAGAATTAACATTTAATTAACTTTTTAAAAAAATAATAATAAAGGAAAATTTTTCCAATGAGAAACCTGATCATGTGAATTCATTGTAGGGAATCTCCAACCGGATCCCAGAAAAGTTCCATGAAAATGTTTGTGAGAATGAGGGATGAAATACGGTCCCCGTCCCGCCCCGATAATACTCCTACTCTCAAAGCACATGAACCCAAGAGTTGTCTCCCCATTGCGGCACAGCAAAGAAGCAACTCCATAATTGCAATGAAGCATATCAATAATGCATAGGGAGCAAAATCGTTTTTTGGTTGGCTCTGGACTCTGGACTAGGAGCAGCCCTCGGCAGTAATTCAAATTGAGTAAGTTTGGTAGTAGAAACAGTGAGAACTTTCAAAGCTGTTGAGGTCAATACGACACAATTAGGGAGGCCCAACAGATAATGTCATCAAGAGAAGAGAACAAATCTTTAACAAAGTAAAGACAGAACAGAACCTCCACTTATACAGACGAATGGGTTAAATTGGAGGCAAATGAAAATCCACTTGAAAGAATGGCCATATGTTGCAGCTCATTCTGCCCATTGCCTCTTTAATCAGATCTCTATCATTTTCCTTCTAAGTCAGTGGTGATGCCATCAGTACATTTCTCCAATAAAAGGAAACTCGGATCCCTCCATTTGTATACCTGTAGCTCCCTTGATTCCCCATTCTCAATAATACATCGTAATATGTATGGGAAGATTCTTTCAATACAACCCGAAGAGCGTAGTATTGACCTAGGATTTTCGGTTAGTCCTCCAATATCTCCACAAGCTAAACGTCATAACCGCTACACTGGCAAGGCTGACTAAAATCTGCTCTAAAAAAAAAAAGAGCATATGTAGTCCTTGGAAAGAAATAGAAGAACGATTGTGAAGGGTATTTGCGGAAGGGAAGGGTAGAGAATCTTCTAGGCATACAAATTTTCTACAAGACAAATTTTCAAATATTGCGTGTTCTATAGCAATAAGAATTGCATGGCATTAAGACCTGTGGACTATAGCAACTGACCAAACACTGGTATGAAACTAACCTTTGCGTCTCTTCCATAACTTGGTAGACTGAGTCCGAAGAATGATTTCAGTTTCCTGAACCGAAATGATCTTGGTAATAGAATTACAGCAGTATACTGTTTTGTGCAAGGAAATGGAAGTATCCTTTGTAGTGCCAACTGTGCTGTTAATGGTGTCAAGGAGTTTCTAACCTTCAAACGTCCCTCATCCTGGATCTGCATCGAAATGACAACAATTTACAACGATTGATGAGAGAATGCTTATCTATTTATATCTCTTCAAAGAATGTCAGGGTCCATCTTTACCCATACAGTTGCAATTCCTAAATATGGCGCAACATTGTATAGTGAAACTAAACAATTTATCGGAGGTAGATAAGCATATAATCATTCCATTTCTCCTAGATAAAATAGAAATAAAAATGCAAGTTGGAAATTTTGATACATCTTGTAAAACACAAACACTTCATCAAGAACTTAACTGATAAGTAAATACGTCACCAGAGGTGAAAGCCACCTTGCATAGAGACTTTAAACAACTTGACGTATTGACAGATAAAAAAAGGGAGAAATAAAATACTTATTAAATGCCACCAACCTCAAAAGAATTTCCAACATCACCAGAGTATATCCTTGACTGGTAGCTGCGTAGAATCCTGTCCAGCCAGTAATAATTCTCCTGGTAACCAAAACCGAAAACAGTGAACTGGTTGTACAGGAATCATAAAATTCCTCCCATTTAAGCATATTGATTATTGCCCAGATTTAAACTAGGAATAACTGAAAACCAACTCCTTTTTTTTCTGGTAGATAGCAACAAAATGGATCATAACTCTTCTAACTGCAGTCAGGGTAAACTATAAATAACAGCTTGAAGCATGTGCAGTGGACCTCATTTTAGGTTTGAAGGCGAAAGTCTCCYTCGATCAGAGTACTTCTGTTTTTGTTTTGTTATCTATACCAAATAGGGAGAGGAGAAAACAAGAGAGGGGAAAGAGAAAGTGACCCAAAAGACTGATTCATAACTAATCAAGTGTGAAGAGCCAAGCGATCATCCACAATTAGTTATATTATTCAGATTTGGGAATCTATCATTAAATAGAGTTAGAATACAGAGGTTGTGGTAGGTACTTATGTCACATAAGAGCAAATAAGTTATGTGGTTGGACACAAATGCCACGTGTGCAACTGCCACACGGGTACCCTGACCATAAATCATTAACAAAAAAGTTGACCAAAAAGACTAAAAGAGTTGCTTTTAGGGCTGAGATGATGGATTTTTTGAATAACAAGTGTCTAGAGAGATTTTGTTAAACATATCTTGAAGTGGAATGCTACTTTTATTTTACCCTTCATGTAGTAATAGTAAGTTCTCAATAAATGAAAAATAACCTGCAGTCCATTTTCATGGGCCCTCTGCTCAATCTCCAGGACAGAGGAAACATCTTGATCTGTAGGCCCTTCTTCTTGAAGACGTAATATTTCATTCAAAGCAAGATCAACCTTTTAAAAAAATCAGGATCACAAAAAAGTGTCAGCTAAATTTGCTAATGGAATTAAAGTAAAAGAAGGTTGATTGTGATAGTGTATAAACCAGCTTCGATGAGATTTCTGGATCACAAGAAAAGTTTATGCTAATATCACCACGAACAGGATCATTTCTTGAAGGCTTGTTACCTCCAAGGAACACTGAAACCCCAGCAGAATAGATCTGGAACAGAAAGCTAATCAAAGAATTAAGAAAAAGAATTTTAAAAAATTACTCATAAAGCCCACAAGAAACATAAACACCTGTCCATGCTTGAAACGCAGAACTTGCATCATTTTTGTCTCAAGCAATTTGCTCAAGAACCCTACGAAATGAATTTCCTCAACCTGCCATTTTTATTTTGAACAAAACACATTCTAAACCATTGGATAAACAAGAAAAACAAAAGTAATAAACAGGAAAATTCATTTACGGTGTACACCTTCAATTCACAATAAGAGGGAAAGAAATACCATAGTTCCATTTTTGAGCTCCACAGGAAAGCATAACTGAACCGAACATTGAGCTTCAACCATGGGGCTATATACCACTTCTCTACAATGCAAGCACATTAAAAATGTTTAGAAAAATAAAATCCGGAAAGAATATGATAAATGTATGAATCTGAAAACATCCACGTTCATACTAAATCACTTCTAAGCAACACCTTAAATAACACATAGGGAAAAATGAAAGCCATTGGATGAGAAACAAAGAACAAAACATGATATGGTTCACTATTTTAATTATATTTTCACTACCCTCCCTCCCCACAGGTCACGGATTAATTCTATCACACATTTGGAAACATGTTTTATGTCTACTATCAACAGATTCGTAGACATGGTCTAGTACACTATACCGAACAATGCCTGTAGAAAAAGTGAATGGCAAGCCTTTTAGATCGTCACGGTTGAAGTCCATAACAGGTTCAGGAGGCTTTGGTATTCCACCCTGCTTCAGAAAATCAAACCTTAAATATCACGAACAACCTATGTTGCTGTGTGTAAGCAGACAGAAATTGAAAATAGCTCACGCACCAAATACTGCTGTATTAAAGGAAGTGCTATAGAAGGATTAATATTCCCAACAATTACAACAGTAAAAGTGGATGGATCTCTGAAACACTTGTTGAAATATTCACAAGCCTTCTGTGGGTCAACTTTTTGAAGGTCCCTTAACCTAATTGGCTGGAGAGTAAGAAATTATTATTAAAAAAAAAAAGAGTTAAACTATAGAAAGAGATTAAAAAAAATGTTAAAGCACGGTAACAAGCATACCCTAAAAAAAT